CGCTCGCGTTATTGGATAGTATCGATTGATAAAGCGTTGGATGTAGACATCCGCAGCAATACTCAGGGCAGTCTGATAGTATTCAATACTCGGTCCGTTGATCAGGTACGAGAGATCGAGACGGATGTTGCTTGTCCCGATATCTTTTGACTGGCACGCAAGCTGATCGTGCTGTTCAGCATCGCTTTGCCGTTACTAGTCATATGTTGTTCGTCATTGTAGTGAACTGAGTAGTGCACTTGAGCTTCACGTGCGCTAGGGACACTTGTGGCCATATTAGCGCACGCTATACTCATGGCGAGCGTGCAATGTGGCCGATTGAAACGACCGATAATGCACAAGCGAGACAACCTCTTAGCAGATTCGTACAGACTTGTAAATTCTCAAGAGTAGAAGTTGGGTCAGACCTTCTACCTAATCTGCGATGTGTTTTGCTCATACAAAGAAAAGCTAATTGTAGTTGTAGGGACTGACACTGTGGAAATCGTCGAGCGCCGCAAACGCACTCACACGAAAAGAAGCCTTTGTCGCCATGACAGGAGTTTGTAAGATTGTCGCGATGATGCGTTGTGTTGCTATCAGTTGTCTTCGGGTAACTAAGATCGACACAAAGTAGAGAGCGAAAATTTTAAATAATAGTAAAAACATGGTTTTTTGTTCTGCTTTGGATTTCTTCACGATTCCAACGGTCAGAAGTGCCGGTCAACAAACATTCGGAAGAAAAGGGATCTTGTAGATGGGTCGTATCCCGAGAATGCTGCAGAGCCAGCAGACGTGCAGGCCGTTTGCACGCACCGACAGATTGGGCACACGACATCTGGTATCGAGAAAGAAAGACCAGTCGTAATCCAATGGAATATCTATGCAACTCTCACCTATCCTGCAATGGCGTGAACGCGCGGAAGGACCAGAGCTGGATAAAAGGACATGTACAAACGTTTAGGTCGCAAGTGCAACTTGCTACGCACTTACTTCCCTGCTCTTGGAGGTATCAGCTCTAATCGACGCAGCTGTTGCCTTCGTGCAATGCCGTTTTGCGATCGTACGTACCGAAGACAATCGTCGCACCTGATGTCTTTCGAGGTCACATGCAGCACATCGGCTTTCTCCGAAACACGACGACTGCATCCCGTCGTGATTGTGGCTACTGCACCGCTTGTCCGAGATATCATTTGCTTGATCGAATACGAGCCGTCACTTTTGAATGTGCCTACGGGTCCTTCAACCCAGCAACGAATCGGCATCTAGAACTGTAGACATAGCCACACACACACCGCATGTACGGCGCGGTGTTCCTTCAATAGCCTACTCAGGACAAGCTCTTCATCTTTCTGCGTTCCAAGCGGCGTCGTCTGTCGGTGTCCAATTGTTGCATCACGTTGTTGACGAAGCGATCGCGAGAAAACAGTTGGAGGTCATGTCAACAACAATGAATCTGCTACTGTCCCAACTCGTTGCACCACAACGTCCTATCCATACCCAGCCATGAGGGTGCAGCGCAGTTTGCAGAGAGCCATCACGGCCGAGGACGGGCTATCCATTGCCTCGTCAACACCATCACCTCTCTCACAGGCGGCACCACACTGGCACTCAAACGTGCTCGAAGCCGGCGCTCGCCGCCATCGTGTGGTCATTTCGCCACAACATCTTTCCGTAAAGTTGTGGCAACGCTATCCCTTCCACCGACTCAACAGTGTGCATCGGTTCAGTTCGCAACTGGCCTTGCGCGCTACGACGACGACTGGGTCCTGCCCTCCCCCCATTCACCGGATCGAGTGAAGCGTCCCGTGGACTGTTTTCTGGAGTGCCCGCGCTTCACTTGTCTGTGTGTGACGAGGCTCCTGGGCACAGCGTATCGGCAACACGGGCTGCCGTGCAGTCAGGATAAGCAGTGCCAGAAGATCGATCGATCGATCGCCTCTCGACACGTTCCTCCGTACAGCCGCTGGCGTTGTACCAGGGCCCAAGCAGACAGACAGACAGACAGACAGACGGCTCGACGTATCTACGCGTCAGCGCTGTCGCTCGCCCCGGCTTTGCCCCGGAGTCTGGATTTTACCGCATAGAAAGGCCGACCGCTGGCTTTGGCACCGATTCCCTGTCGAGTGTCGTCTGCCAGCGCGCGACGACCGGTCAGTGTCTGGTGTGGCGGAGCCGCGCGCCCTAATCGAGGCGACCTCCTGCTGGTTCGCAGCCTACAGTTACGTGCTGCACATCAACTGAGGGCCCTCGCCTGGTTGTGTCGCCCACAGTGCTGGGTCTCGCCTACTGCGGCGTCACTTCCGTACGCGCCCATTGGCCGCCACCGCCATTGTCGTCGCGTTGCGCGAACAGTCCTGAATCGCACTTACGCGAACACGCCCACCAACAAACAAACAACCCAACAAACCCGCGACGACGTACCCATCCAGCGAACGTCCTCTCCACCTCTCGCCCTCTCTCTCGCTCTCTCTCTCTCTCTCTCTCTCCCTCTCTCTCTCTCTCTCCAATCGACTGATCCACTGAGCAAGTGGGCACCAAAGTGCGTAAGACGTGAGGCCTTAATCGATCGGTCGCTTTAGATCGCGTCCTCTCTCTCTCTTTGTGTCTCTCTAACGCGTGTCGCTCTCTCTCTCTCTCTCTCTCTCTCTCTCTCTCTCTCTCTCTCTCTCTCTCTCTCTCTCTCTCTCTCTCTCTTCCCCGTTATATGTAGACAGCGGTCATGGACTTTGCCTCCCCCAACGAGTCGGACGTGGACATGATGCACGACGACTCGATGCTGCACGTGAACCTCTCGGCGCAGTACGGCCACCCGCACCACTCGCACCACCAGCAACAGCACCAGCAGCAGCAGACCCAACAGCAGCAGCAGCAACAACGTCAACAAGCGCCTCAACAGCCCCAAGCACGAGGATCGCAAGCGCCGCCGCCGCAGCGGTCGCTCCACTCGCACGTGAACCTCTCGACGAGCGACGCCCACTCGGTCTTCCCCGGCGTCTACGTGCCCGGCCTCAACCACATGGAGCCGCAGCCGCAACAGGGCGACGCCATGGAAGAGTACGCGCGGCTTATGGGCATCAAAGTCGAGTCGGACGACGTCCACGTCGTGCCCAACGGCAACGCCTTTACGAACATTGCCAAGATCCAGGCCAACGCCGCGTACTTTGAGAACCTCATGAGCGCGCGCGACCGCAACGACGCGATGGACGACGGCACGAACATCACGTCCATGACGCTCCCCGCGGGCATCGGCAGCGGCCTGAACGGCCAGTTCATGGCGGCCTCTGGCAGCGTCCTGACGCCCACGCCGCCGCTGTACAACGCCACGTCGGAGTTGGCGTACCAGGAGAGCAGCTCGCGGCTCTACGACCCGTCGTCGGGCTTTCCGGGCCACACAGTGCCCCTGCCTTTCCACAAGGGCCCCCAAGTGCGGCCGAGTATGCTGCCGCCGGACCTCGTGGGCTCGCAGACGCTGCCGCCGGAGATCATCTCGGCCATGATCAAGAACAACTCGTCGCACAACTTTGACAACTTGAGCGAAGACGAGAAGCAGGCGCTGATCAAGGAGGAAAAGTCGAGGGAGCGCAATCGCGACCACTCGCGCAAGTCGCGGCTGCGCAAGAAAGAGTTTGTCGAGTCGCTCAAGCACGAAGTCGGACAGCTGCAAGTGTACCAGCAGATTTGCGAACAGTGCATGGACTGCATTGCGCTCGTGACGGCCGAGGCGTCGGCGATCTTTCTCTATTCGAGCGCTGCCTACACGCGCTTGCTGGGGTACCAGAACCACCAGATCGTGCCAGGCCAGACGAGTTTCTTGGACATGGTGCATCCGGTAAGCCGCAACTAGTGCCCGTGTCGTTGTTGACGCGCGCTGTGGTTTGCAAGCTGCTATTCCTGCTAACTTTGATGTCGTCGTCATGGCAATGTGTATGTGGTGGTCAAGAGCAATGTGCAGGACGTTCGCGCAGTGTTTACGAAGCTCAATACGCTTGGCGAGACCCACAGATGTACGTGTGACACTCTAGCTACATGTGATGTGATGGGTTTGCCAGGGGCGGTCGAGTAACTAACGACGGTGTGCGTTTTGGGGGATGTGTGACGCGTGCGTGCAGTTAAATTCCGAATAAAGTCAATGGATGGCGAGTACTTCAACGCGGAGACAACGGCACGAATGGCCGAGAAGGGCATTGTGTGTTCGACGCGTGTGAACCGCGACATGTAAAAAGCCGACTTCATGCAGTGGCCTTTGAAGCGTACAGATCGATGACAGCAAACAGAGCGCAAGTGGATGCTACGCGACCAGAGCACAGCACAGCACAGAGTGACCGAGACAAGGTCGTGAGTGATTCGAGACCGACACAGGTTACAGGACGATCTTGTCAGTGGACGACGTTGAGCGCGCGAGAGCGAGGAATCGGAGGTGTCGAGCAGACGAAGAGGAGTGGACGAGCAGCACGAGCTCGGAACGAGGGGTGCCGCATATAGTAGTGCAGTGAATGTTAATATACGACCGCAGTGAACGGTGGCACGTGTGAGAACGATGAGGTACCTGCAGCCATGTGGAACAGGTGTCGACTCTGCTGTTCCGTCACTGCCGTCCGATAATGTGTGTTGAAGTTCGTCGTGTAAAACGTTCGCCGTTTCGAGCCATTAGTCAGCATATGGGACGGGAAGCCCGTGGGAGAGAGAGCAGGTCCCGAGCGAGTCGACCGCGACATAGCCGCAAAACCACGTGTCGATTAGTAATGTATAGAGACAAAGAGAGCTCAGTCGCGAATAAGACTGCGATGGTGCTCTTCTTACCGCACGCGGGTGGAGATCGTCGGTACATATGGTGACAGTCAACTCATGAGATCGCAACAGTCGCAACAGATCGGCCCGAACCGAGAAAAAAAGAGTCGACAGTTGTTACATTCGAGCAGTCCCTTTGTCAAAGAAGTATCGACGCGTGACCGCACGTGTCAAAGCCACAGTGTCTTCGTCGTCCGTAAGGCACGTCAAAGCAGAGCTAGTGCGTTGTGATGGAGGCCGCAGCGAGTGAGCACATTTCGGTAGCTTTGGGTCTCACTCGACCGTTTTTGAGCGAGTCAAACCGCGCGTTTACGCCGTTCGAGACGTGGGACCACCTCTCGGCCTTACTCGTGACACAACCTCTTCAGGTGCAGCCTCTTGGGTACTATCGCACCCCCCAGAGCATTGACATGTAGGAATTACGTTCGTAGCCATTGCGTTCTTTTCGGATCTGTGGTTCTATTTGCTGATCTGCCAGTGTTTGTCAACTTGTTCATACCGAGTACAATGATGTAACGATATGACGGGCTGGATGTCATGTATGCATGTAGCTATGTCTTCGAGTGCGTCCTGCGCGACACGAGTGGCTCGCAACGCTACAGGTGGAAGATCTACCGTCGCTATCGACAGTTTCACAAGTACGTATTGCACTCGGCCAACTTTAGCGCCAGTCATGCAGTGGACATACCCCATTTGCCGCAAGGTCCGGTCCAACTGTTCCATGCACGACATTGCAAAGACCGTCTTGTAGAGCTCTCCAAGTGGCTTGCAGCAGTGGTGGAGACAACACGGACTTACTATATGCAGTTGCACCGGAGACAGGAAGCGCAGGGCCGAGACAAACGGTGTGCACTTCAACCGCAAAGATTGGCACAAGAAGCAAAAAAGAAGACCACGAACAAGCAAGTGCAGTCACATTTGACCTCTGCGAAGAGTTTGGCTGGGCCGAGATCAAGCTCGAGAGCTCCGAGACAACAACAAAAGCGCAGTGTCAGTTTGAAGGCGATCGAGCAACTGGGCGATCCTGTTTTGTGCGTGCTGCGAGCGGACGAGACGGAGGCGTTTCCAGTCATGATGTTGAGCTCTTTTCTCTTTGCGGGCGCAAACTGTCCGTTTCCGCGCGTTTTTCAGGGTCTACCGACGTTCGCTTTGGCGTTAGAAGAGCAAAATGTGCAACTGTTACGAAGAGCGTTGCCTGCTTACCCGTCCAGATTGAAGAATGCTATCGTGACTCGAGCGGGTCTTGGTCTACGGCTGACTCCAAACCACGAACAAGACGGGCTATACTTGGGTGCAACTGTTGCAGACTTTCTCCGAAATCGAAACGAGCTAGACCCTGCACTGGTAGATGTCCCAGTGGGAGCAAGACTGGTTCGAGTCAATGGCATCGATGTGAACGATTGGCCATTTGATCAACTTTTGATTCAGCTACGAAGTTTGGCTGTGCCATTGCGTCTAACGTTTCGGTACGATCCGCACCTGAAGTGCCACAAAAGCAACACAGTGACGTCACACAGTCATGTCGATGCTACATCTGCTGCAGAGCCAATAAGTGGAGAGCAGAGTGGAGAACATTGTACGCGAAAGGGAAGCTGTGCTGAGTGTTCAGTGCTGGACCACACTGACATGCGAAACGAGTCAATGAATTCAGGTCGTCGCACTTCTAGTGCAGACAGCTCTCAATCGAAGTTTGGTTGGCTAGCCTTAGTCTTTGGCAATTTGTTCGGTTGTGGGAATGCGGTGAGCACGACTTCGAAGTTAAGGTGGACGATGGACGCTGATTTTATAAGCCTTTCAAGCAAGCGGCAAGATAAGCCTGCGGACGTCGTATCGGGGCCTGGATGCCTTTCGTTGTTGGATGGAGGCAAACCCGTTTTGTGTTCGTGGGATGAAGTAGGTGGCGAATCGCAGAACATCGTTTTGCGTGGATTCTATTCTCACTTGCCACATTCATTGCTTCGAGAGCTGCGACTGACGGATCGCAATGAGGTGAAAGCAAACGACTGCAATCGAAAGCGCAATCAAAACGAAAGCTGTGCCGGAGAGATTAACATGGAGGTCATCAATGCCAGTGCATCACCGAATTGCGAGGCGCTAGGTGTGTGGAGCACTGCTTATGGATGCTTGGGGTCACTGTTTGGTGCATGTACAATCCAAAATGTGGAAGCTGCGAGGCTAATGCAACCGCCTGTGTTTTTCTCAACGAGTGCTGAGCACTGTGCCAGCGAAAAGGACTTACGCACGGGATTGATCTTGGTAGCGATAAACAATGAGAGCACATTTGGGCATTCGTTTGCTACTGTAATGGAGCGTTTGCGCTTGGCTGCACGCCCTACCAGTATATGCTTCCGTTGGTATGAAGACTTCAGTCCATTCTTGGACACAAACGTTGCAGAAAAACACGAGAGCTGCCGTTATCTACCGTCAAGGTCAAGCAATCTCCATGCAACTGCAGCTGAAGCATTTGCAAGCTATTTGGACTGTGTAGCGGTAGCGCAAACTGATTTAAGTTTCAGCCTGCAGCTCGCTCTGACAGAGAACGCATCGATTCGCGATGAGCTGAGTGTTCTTCGTGACGTTCACTGCAAATTGGGGCTAGCGCAGGAGCGTGCAGCTCAGAGAGAACATGTTTTGCAGGCCACGATTGAACAAAGAAACGGTGTGATTGCCAAGTTGAATGAAAAATTGGACGTGCAACGACACGAGCTGGAGAATGTGTATCGCCGGGCGTGTGAGGCAGAGACCAAGCTTGCCTTACACCATCGAGAGTACAAGGCTAGGTTGGACAAGGCAACGAAAAGCGTCAAGGTACGACTCGCCGAACGCGAGGAGCAACTGATAAAGGAATCGAACCGATCGATCGTGAATGCGAACTATCTGGCCGAACGTCGTGCCCTCAAGATGTTGGAAACAGCAGCAAATGAACTGCGATACAAGCACGAAGAATACTTGCAGCAGCTCGCCGAGGAGCATGCAGAGGAAGTGGAAAGTCTCGTGCAGCAAGTGGCAGTGTGGCGTCACCAAGTAGAGGTGCTCACGGAGGCTGAAAGGCGTAATTACGTGGCTTTGATGAGCAAAGGCGTGCATCCGTACGGAGAAGACCAGCGCGCGCGTGTGGGTTACGTGAGTACCGATCCACTTATTGGACACCGCATGAAAGGGCATCATGACGACAATGATGCGTATATAAGTAGGCCGGAGACGACCTTGGTCTCGCGTGCGAACACCAATGTAGGGCGTGGTTGCAGTCCCGAGGATGATAGTGGCAAGGACGTACCTGAGGCTGCCTTTAGAACACCAAACATGGCGTTGCAGGTTCGCCATGGCACATTTTGGGACCGCATGGTCTCACTGCTGGCCACGGAATGATACAGTATGGAGAAGATAGGTGATAGTTTGTGTATGTGGACGGAAGCGCAAAGTTGTGTTACATGTGGTCACGTATGGTTATAGCTTTGATTTTAAAGCCAATGTGAAGCTTTGATAGGGCATCGCACAGAAAGAAGTTGGACATTACCAGTGTCATGAGTCCAGCCGTTTCTCAGATCGTGTTCAATGCAGAGTACTACTTGAGCTGCTTCACACAAGTATAGGCTAAAATTCGCGCGAACGCATTGTGCAGTTGCCAAGTTGGGTTGAGGCATGCTGCTCTCGGCTATAATGCTATCTGCGACGTACTCACATTACGTCCTCGATTGGATCTCCAGTAGAAGACCTACTGTGGTTTATCTGTGGTACTTTTCGCCAAAGTGCATGCAGTGAGTGTGTTGTAAGATGCATCCATGACAAGAATCTGGAAGCTTCGCGCGATTTTCGATAGAGCAACAAGGTAGTACGACAGCTATTTGCAGCATTGTGGATCAATCACAGTCCGGCATAGCTTTGGGTATTGCAATCTGTGTGCGAAGACTGTCATCACGGATGGTAACTGTTCGTTGCGTAGCAAACGCGTGCCGACATGACGCTGCACTGAAAAGCAGCTCAGTGGGAAGGCAAAAATGACGAGGTGACGGAACTAATGTAGATGTCGACCGATTTGTAACACGCGTAATGACGAAAGCATTTTACCAGCTGAAAACGTGAGTCTTTTTGCGATTGGTGTTACAGGTTTTTAGATTTGCCGCAAGGCAATGCAAAGCGAGCATACAAAAGAGACGTGGAAAGCGTGGACCATTATGTAAAGGATTGTTCGAGTCAAGCACAAAACTTGTCGTGATAAGGCGCAAAATGTGAAGCTGTTCTCTACCCGAACGAGACCTGCATGTCCAATACAGAGACCATATAATATGGCGACCTTGATTTTTAAATACAGTCTCGCGGAACCTGAAACGGGGCATCCTACGCTTGTACTGACACAGTACAAGCTACTTGCATTGACTCACGTATGCAGTACTTGCAAAGGAAAGCTAAATGTCATGAACGAACCGGTTTGAGAGCAGGAGAAAGTAGAACTGTATTTAATACACATATGTTGGCTCATACAGCTTCTCTCATCTTACTTAAAGCATGGCGAAATTACAAGCAAATCCTGTAGCAACCCACTCACCACCCATTACACGCGTCTGGCAACGATTGGTGGTAAAGTTGTTAGGTGAAGTAGCGTATATCGATGGATATCTGAAGTAACTCGACAGGCAACCCCGAGAGCCGCCACCTCAGGTGGCAAGCCTCGTAGAACCACCGGACTCGGCTGAGGAATCGGCGTTGCTAACCAGGCTTATGACTTATCAGACATCGTGTAACCATTACAGGGTAAATAGACCCGTCTGCCCCTCTCTATGAATAAGTAACGCAATGCCAAATCTTACTTTCGAAGGTAATATTTCTTCACCTTCGAAGGCAAAATTTTCATCTTCGAAGGTAATATATCTATGATAGATAAACCAAGTAATGCAAGTAATGGTGATCGTTGTCAATTACGATAATCTTTATACTGGACCAATTTGGTGCCAATTACATGTAACGGGCTCTTCTCGATACAGTAACGAATCGTGTACAATTTTATGTGCGGCACTGAGACAGCAAAGTTGTATTCTTGCGTCGATGCATATTCAAGCTCGACGAACACGTAATAGCGAACGCTACTGTCTGCCGCCGTCTGCGGTGACACGTCTAAATCACTACACGTGCTTCTTGTGTCGCATGTAAAGAATGGCCAAGTCAGATCGGAAAGAACTTTTGACACTGGAATCTGGCTTGCAATGCGTACTCTTGTGATCGGTAAAAAGCTGTGGACAATCGCGGATCGCTTACTATCGCGTCTGCGATTGCATTCTGGACCATGGTATGTAACAAGAGCATCTCGTCATCGCGACATGTGCCGCTCTTGTGCTCTGCTTCCGCTTATTTTGGTTGCTCCAGTATGAACGAGCTAGCCACAGCGCGGCCACAGAAGCAGGGAATGCGCACAGGTTCGTCAAAGATAGAAGAATGTAATGCAGGGGACTGATAGAAAATCACGCAAAGGATCCCGCTAGCTCTGTAACGGTTAGAGTCCCTTTCCGCAGGTTCCCACAAAGGGTCATACGGGTCTGTGGACCAGAGCCTTTATGTGACAAGCTCGACGGTATCTTTTGACACAAACGTCAGGTGAGAAGACCAGAAGTACCGATGCGATCTGATCGTCGTCGTCTGTCCAAGGATTTGAGATGTCCTTTTCATCCTCAACAGCGTACACATACGTTTGAGCACCCCATCAGCTTAGCAATCCATCGTTTGTGTCCAAGGGGTTACAGCATCGACATATCCGCTTCTACCACATCAGCGCTTCTTTTCATTTGCGCGATAGGACGTGGAAGCAGAGCTACACTGCATGCACCAATGTTATCTTAGGGAAGACTTGTGCTTCAGCTGTCTGTCGGAATGAGAGTAGTCTGGGTCCGAAAGCATTCGGAGCGACAACAGACGAGCTGCGATGCAGTGCTGCTGTAGACAAAAAAAGGCGCCAGCGAACATGTGCTGCATGATAGAGGACGATTGATTGGTAGCCGCGTCGCAGCACAGAACATCGATGCTATGGTCGCCGTCGAGTTAGGTTCTGGACTGGCAGACCGATTTGACAGCCAGCGTTTGAATGGATCACGTAGCAATCTATTCATCAGTCAATGCGAGTGCTTGCCAATATCAGGCATTGCCAAACAGTCAAGCGCAAATGTCGCCAGCATCTCCAGGGCCTGTCAATCGATTCCTCTTTGCTGATTATCAAGCAATGGAACGACGTCAGCGCTGGCGTTTGCGCGGACACCAGTGATGAGGGCCACGGTTGTGTACCCGCATTGTCTTTTGTTCTACAAGTATTTCTTCTTTGTGGGGTCTGTCACACCAGCACAGTGCGATAGTAAAAGGCCCAGCCAGTGGTAAGTAAAACAGCCAGCCCGCTTTGCGCGATCGCAAAACAGACTGCGGGAACAGTCCAAACGTATGGCCTGGAAGCGTGTTGGCTCGTTTATTGATCCTTCAAGCTTTGCAAGCTTTGTCGTGCCTGAGAAAGGGCCGCCCTAGCGTGTTTACAGTCCAATTGAGCACCACAGTGATCATTGAGGTGCTCACACATGCCGATGCTGACGCGTGAATACGGTTCAGCAATACTGCCCACGTGACTTGCAGGTCCACTTTGCAGCTCCGTGACATGTGTACCAAAGCTACTGCATGTTGTCGGTGTCCTGTCCGCATCGGCGAGAAAGTTATGGGTTCAAGATCGGGATCGAACTGCATGTATTCGATGACCTGTCCGCCTTGGTGGAAATGTCAACAAGGGTAGAGAGCTGCATGCAACCAGAGACAGACGTCGAGCAATGGCCACGACAGAGTTAGTAGAGATTCGGCATGCTCTCGACCAGTCTGTTTCGTCTCACATCTGGCTCGTGCCGACTCGATGGCTTTGCTGGACTTGCGGTCAATCATAAAATTGCCAGCTCCTTGCCACGACCCACCGCGACACCGCAAAGCCACAATGCGCGTCTTCTCTGCGCTACTTGTGACTTCCGTTGCAGTCCTGACGTGTATCACCGCAGCCTCGGAAACCTCTGAACAGAAGCCAATGACTCGCAACCAGTCGGCGAGCGCTCGTTCCGCGGCAGGCGACCACAGTGCTGATCCAGCGAACCGGTCACCGAGGGATTCTGACACTGGAGATGAGGAAGCAAGAGCGGTTCTACCCCTTCTCGCAACAACGACGTTCAAGCCTTTGCCTGCAATGCAGCATGCATTGAGTCAGGGGAAAGCTGCTGTCTCTGAGTCGGAAAAGCTTCGGGTGATGGTCGAGGACAATCTTGCCACTTTCTCCAAATCTCTACCATCCAGGTATGATTTCGAGGCCAAGCGTATCGGAGAACAAAGAGCAAAGCTGAAGGCGCTGGGTGTAGCGGAGAAAGACCGGTATTGTCGCGACGTGATTTTGGATGGGAATGCACGTCCTGGCATCATAAAGGCTGTCGGCGACTTAGTGTCAGCGGATGATCGCGTAAGTACAATTGCGATAAACGTGATGGGTCAAGAAATTCATGCGCACGAAGTCGAGCGTCGGGCACAAGAAGCTGCAGCAAAGTTTGGTGAGACGGCTCGTCGATGGATTGACAACGGCAAGAGCATCAAGGATGTGTTTACGCTGCTACAGCTCGAAGAAGAGGGAGGCTTTATTTTTGCGACGGTAGAGCTGGAGGTGCTGATGATGTTTGTTAAGGCATTCAACGAGAAGCATGGCACGAACTTTGGACTGCTGGATGCCTTGGTGATAGGTTTTGAGGATGAGGGCAAGGTCGCACGGATTCTATCATTTGCAAGCTCCAATCCGGTATACAAGGCTCGAGCTAATACCTTGCAAAAGGAGTTGTTCGGTCGCTGGCTGCATCATGGAATACCCGAAGATGGTGTTTTCGTGATACTAGGGCTTGACGAACCGGAGAAGATCATAACGTACGAGGACGTGGACACCATTACAAAGTACGTCGACATGCTCATCGACAAGCATTTGACCACAAAGCCGAACGCGTACGAAGTTTTGAAAGCAAACCTTGGAGATCGCAAGTTTGCGAAGCATCTCAGTGCAGCGATAATGGCGGGGCAAGAAAGCGAAAAACACATGGGATCCTTGCTACGAGACTGGTTTAATCAGGGGATCTTGCCCGAGGACCTGTATGCTCGATTCTTCAATGAAGGAAGTCCCGACAAGCACAATGTTCTTGCCCTTAACGAGGAAAGTCCTAGCGAAGTGCTGGAGGTGAATAAGGTGTTGTCGTTGTATCATAAACATCACCGTCAACATAGCGGTGAGCCTATTCATCGCCTGCCTATTCCCCCGAGCAGCTGAACAAACGAAGAAGTCTGCGATTCGGTAAGTCCCGTTCGAGCATAAGAGAGTGGTCTTGTTG